TACACAGCTGAGGGAGAGAGGGAGAGAGAGGGAGAGATCTGACTGGCTAACATTAAGTTAAATAGATTTTTATTACCAATTGCTATTTACTCCTACTACATATGCTCACCACTGAGGTGCCTGGCCTGGCCACCAGGTATACTGAAACTCATACCTTTAGGTGAGGTCATTAAACGCAAGTTGCAATCCTTTAACCTGTGGACAACATCAACAACACAGTCCTTTTCTTAAGCATTCAGGTTCTGATCTTGTCTGGTTTTCATTCTTTTCAGTTTGAATACCGGGCACAAATAAAGCTAAACTGTCCAACAAGCATGACATCAACTGACATAATCACCTCCATCACTTCAGTAATATGCTAAACTCAGGTCAGAAACTCTTAGCCCTATCAGTAACACATCGCCAAAAAACAAATCTGACACACTCACTAACACTCAGCAACAAATGCTTGCTAAAAGACCAAGTCCATTTGATTAAGTGGGAAAGGATCCCAGGAATGTTTCCAGCTACATTACATTAGGACAAAGTGAAGTTTTGATTCTCATGAAACAATATCAGATATCCAGCCAACCATTGTATAGTACGATAACCAGTTTTTGGAGGGTGTCCTGTTGCATTTTGGCAAACAGATTGAAGAGTCTATTAATGCACATTTAAAATATTTTCTACTATATTAGCCACATGATCAAAATCTTGTTGATGATATTCCTGTGTATGTTAACTGATGCAGGGATGACCTGCTTTGGGTCTTTTTGTGTCCCATCCTATTCTCTGAGTAGGCTGACCTAACTACGAAGGGAAGTTATGTTCCTTTAAATGTAAACACAAGAAACATACGGTACATCTTAATCAGATTTAAAGTAATCAAAACATTATGTGCACGTACCCACTATGTGCAAAGAACTGTTCTCACTGAAACACATGATGATGTACCTTAAAGAAGGCACAGTCCCTCTCACGAAAACACCCAATTTAATTATGACTTGGCCAATGCATTGTCAAACTTGAGAGCACAAGATGTTTTGGGTTTTAGTCTTGGATGACTGTAAAGTTATACAGATAATTTGAGGAACCTGCGCCATGTCTTATGGTGCGGGTTCCTCAAATCGTGTCATGTCAACCCTGAATGAATGTTTTCATATGGGGCATAAAACTAGTCATTTAGGCCTTTAGTTGAAATATGTTATGAGGAAATTTGAGGAAACATGCTATAAACACAACATATTATCATCTTTTAAGTTGACATGGCTAACATGTTAACAAACAATTGCCTGTGTACACATACAGCAACATTAGCATTCATTTGAAGTTGTGTTTCTGGTCACCTGACGAATGTATTGGTCTTTTAGGTCTCCAACAATTCTTGAGGCTAACTACGTCTGTCTGTTGTTTGATGTTGGACAGGTAGTGTAATGTGGGTTTTTAGAGCAGAGAAATCAGCAAAGCTGCCATCTACAAAACCAATACAATGAGCCGAAAGAGAATAAAATGCTTCATATAGCCAAGAGGAACTGCAGAGTCAGGAGATTATTCTTTGTGAGTACATCACTTCAGGCGGTACCTTTCACATACAAGTAGTCATGTGATCCATTGTTAATATAACAAAACTAAGCACTACTTACAGCTACTTGAGGCTAGCACAGCAATGCTTTAAGCTAAATGCTAATATCAACAATGATAAGCTCATCATCACAGCCCAAGAAAAGAGAATATCTTGCACTGTCCCATTTTACACTTATATATGTCCTATAACCCTGGCTGTGTTGTTGGCTCATTATTGACACCTTTTATCCGTAATGCCAACATGATAAATGAACTAACATCTAAAATAAAAAAAACTATTGCATTGTACTGTAATGTCATGTGTTGTACTCTACATCAAACAATATCAGCATGTGTAAGCCTGCTAAGAGATAACTGACTGGAGATGGGAGAGTTCTTTCATCCCATATGCTCCCTGTGGTCTCAGCAGTCTGACAGGGTGACAGTGTAACCATGACCTGATTACCTGTCCCCTGAAGCCTGTAATCACTAAAGCCAGCAGACAGGCACTGTCGGTCCAGTGACAGGGAGGATAATTGAAGGTGACGCTACATGCTGCTGGCCCAGCTAATGAAATATGAAAACAAAGAGCAGGGACAATGCAGCAGGGCATCAGAGATGCCTAAACTACAGAGCAGGACGTTTTCTGTCTATTTACCAGCAATATTGATCTTCAAATGATAATGATATATGATTTAGCTGATATTAATATCTTACCTAGTGACTGGTCTTTGCCATACACATTCCCATCAAGTCTCACGTGTTCCCATTAGTTACATTCATCAAATACAGATGGATGTTGTTATCTTAGTTTAGTGATAAACATTCTGATGCACTGCAGAGTTGCCCTCCTGGCACCTACAGCATCTACAGTGTTGACTATAAAAAAAATTATTCTGAAGAGACTTGGATTTGGGCTTACTGGCTAAGTACAGCAAACCTGTCATACAACAGCAAACAACCTCTAGACAAATGTTTCTTTAAATATGCCAATATTGTTCTTAGCAGATTAATATCAACATCTCAACATCTTGTGAAAAAAATACTGAATTTTCAGCCAGAGCATATTTCCCAACCTGCTGAAATCTGTCCCGACTGAACTAAGAGTTATGAGGTTCCTAAAGCTCGTAATACAAGGAAGAAAACCTAGAAATCGTGAATAAATAAAGAAAATAATTCCAAAACTAGCTATCGACTTTTTGAGAATCCCCCAGTCCCTGCCAGGCTAAATAAGCATATCAGACCATCTTCACGCTGCCTTTAAATACAAGTCTCTGACAGAGGGAGTTCCTCTGTGGGAGCCCAGTGATACTGAGTCATGCTGGAGCATAACATTCAGAAATACTAAAACTATATTTGCCTTGAGGCACAAAGTGTATTGGAACCTCTGCTCACCCAATCATCAGTTGGTGGAGCTCCCACCCCAGTACTTATCACTTATCTTAATGTGTTGTCCAGATGAGCTATCTGCTTCATGAACAAACAGTTGTAAAGCAGAACAGGTATTGGCAAGGCAAACACAGCTAGTCTAAAATAAATCACCATTGTATTTGGTGATATGATATGATACCCCTGAACCTGGTAATTGGCTCCACACATCATTGAAAAGGGCCAATTAATTCTTTAATGTAAAAACATTCAGAAATATATATATATTTTCCCCGGTCAGCCATGCTTCGGCATTGTTCTCCATTTTGGTAGAGCTTCACCAATAAATCAGCCAGGCCCATATATCAGCCAATATTAGCTTATTGCAAATATATCAATATTGGTTCATATATTGGCCGATATTGCACAATTGTTTTTGTACACAGGTCTCTCTTGAAAAAAACACTGCGATCTCAATGAGACTACCTGTTAAAATTAAGGCTTTAATAATAAATAACAAGAAATTGCGGTACAGAAATGCTAAACACTGACAAGTTGTAGAATGTTTGTATCTTAGTCATAATTCTCGAAAAAACAAATTTAAGGATCCATATTTTAAATTTTGTTTTTTAAGCTACCATAAAACCAATAATGAACAATTTCAATATCAGTCTCAAAATTCCAGTATGGGTCGAGACTATAGTCACATCTCCAGTGTAACACTCAATAATTAAATGCGTTTGCAATTATGAAACATAATTATATTGTAGTATAATTATAATAGTACTGAATTTGTTCAAAATGGTGATGAAATCACTGAATTAATCAAATTTTCTGACCATTTGTTGCTGTATTTCCTACTTGCCACACCTTGAGTTAAAATTAAGCTAATTGTTATCATTGCATTGGCAAATCATTAAAACTTCCGTCCTTATTTAAAAGGTAAGTCCCAAATTATTTCATTTAAGACTCTTCTGATCAGTATTTCTTGCAGAAACGACCATTGGCTAATGTAAGCTCATGTTAGCACGTTAGCACAACATTTCTGTGTAACTGATATTTCTCGGCTAGTTTGTTGATTTTAAGAGTCTCTAGCTTATTTCACTCTTTTCGCAGAAATGTATTTATTGATTTTTATCACAAGTGTAAAACAAAAAATAAATGCACTATTTAAATAAAATGTTTGATGATTTTTGTCTGCCTAAAGCTTTGGCTTTATTTTCTGTAAGTCTCCCAGCTATTTGCATTACTCTTGTCTGTTACATCTGAATACATTGCAGTTGATATGGAAAATATTTTGTGATAGAGGGCTGTAATTCATGGTTTTAGTGTTACTTTCCCTTTTCATTTTGGCTCAGCAGTGGTTTTCAACAACCTCTGAGAAACTTGCCTTCATTGAAGTCATGTAGGTCCTGGAGGGGGACACTGTTTGGCACTTATGAGATACATTTTGAAATAAACCTCTTCGAATTCACATATCTGCTGCCCTACTGTGTCTTTTAGTTGTGAGACATTAATAAACTGGTCCAACAAACAGACTTCTGTTGTCTTAATGCGTTTCATGCTTTTCCCTCAGTTACTTTGATAGTAGCCTAACGGTCCTGTAGGGACATCCAGCTTTTGGTACTTCAGCAGCAACCCAACTAGTGTATCTCTTATTAATGATCATATACACATTGTTTTAGAAACGCCAGCTTCCATTACATTCAAAGACACGTGATGTAAAGTAGTAGAAGTACTGTGTGGAGAGAGAGTTAATCAGAGTTTTATAAAGCCCTCCATCAAGGCACTTCGGCATATCATATATACAGTACACGTACTGTACTCACACACACTGACACCTATAGCCACACAGTCACAACAACAATAAATTACGATCGATAAGCGGTTCGTAGTAGTAACAGTAGTTTACTCTTATTATTTCAGTCTGTTAAGGAAAGATAACAGACCAACAGTTTGTTAACAAGAATATCGCAACGTTTACGTGATATGAAGTGTAGTGGCTGCCCTCCCTCAGTCTGTACAGCAGAGAAGACAAACAGTAAACACACTTCCTCACATATTCAGACACATGTGTTTGCTCCACTTACCTCACTGCCCTCCGCGTGCTTCTGTAAATACGGATTTTTTTTATTTTTTTTTATCAAAGTGTCTCCGATGGACACACACAGACAGAGCTTCGTCCGCTATATTTGGGAAACTGACAAACTCAGAGCAGCAGAGGTTTTAGCTCCTCCCACCAGTGTGTGTGCGTGTGTGTGTGTGTGTGTGTGTGTGTGTGTTTTTGTGTGTGTGTGTGTGTGTGTCAGGGACGCTCCTATATATGAGTGTAGGAGTGTTTACGATAACATATGAGTGTTAATGATGTGCACGTATGCGTGTTTCAATGTAGGCTATTATTCATGCGTAATTCTGCTGTGGTTTTTCAGTTAGTGTGCTATTGTGACTGATCAGTATGTTTTAAATTGATTTCTGTGTACACTACCAGTCAAAAGTTTCAGAAAGCCCAATTTTTCTGTTTTTATTGAAATTTCGGCAGGACAACTCTAGCGAAATGATACAAATGCAAATGGTATACTGCCAAGTAATAAAAAAAAGTTTAGGTCACCAAAATCTGAAAAACTATGTAAATTTAAAAGAAACATGTCTTACGTAAAAGAAAACTGGCTAACTTCCAGCTTTCCCGCAGCAGTGGAAGAATGAAGCCTTGAACGTCAATGCAAACAGTTCATACTGGTGAAGCTTTTGATTGCTTACAAACCTGTGATGAGTGTGTTCAGCAAGTGGATGAGTGAAAATTTTGGTTAAATTTAGTTCAACGAGATCATTCTATCATTCCCTGTTGTTAAAATCTAAAATTGATTATTTGTTCAGTGCTTTAATTTCAGAAACACAGAGACATTGAATTTTGTAAACTTAAATAGCAACTGGAAAAATGGAGGTTCTAACTTGTTAGTGTATAATTTTATAGTGAACAAGAACAGTAAAAACCAAGGATGTAATCATATAAAAGCTGGGATCATCATATGAAAAAGTTTTGATACCAGACTTTTCAGCTGGCAAACACAGCAAACACAGCACAGCATGTGAGTCGCCTTCAACCCAAACACAAGCCTCCTATAATAATTGCTCTATTGATATTTTATTTAGCCTTTGCCTGAGGGAGGGAGAAAAAAAGCTTGTGACTGTGAGACAACAGGTTCAGGTTTCCTAACCAGCTGAGAAAATCTGCTTTGGAGCAGGCCATGCAGTGTTACTCTCCTCCCAGTCTTGACTGTTCCAGTGATGCTGCCTGGAAACCAGAAACCAGAGGTAGAAGGATTTATCCCGTGTACTTACATTCATATATATTCATTTGGCAGATGCTTTTATCGAAAGTGACTTAAATGTGAGGGACAACACCAAAACTTCAGTGCAGTAAAAGACCTTGGTATAAGCAATACATCTAATCAATCAGTGCAAGGAAATTAGGTAAAAAACGTGCACCAAAAGTGCATAGTAAGTGCTAGTTAGGCATGTTAGGGTGTTAGAGGTGTTAGGGGAGGAGGTCTTTCGGAGGAGATGAGTCTTCAAGAGATCCTTGAAGATAGAGATTTGGTAGCTTGTTCCACAATCGGGGAACCACAAATGAGTACAGTCTGGACTGGGATTACCTTGTTTGCAGGGATGGCAATGCCAAAGAAGGAGCATTAGTCTGTATGACTGAGTTCAGGTAGCAGACTGTGAAGTCACTCTGGAGGCAAACATAACTTGAATTTGATTCGGGGGGCCACAGGTAGCCAGTGTAGGTTGAGGGGTAACATGTACACTGATTGAAAACTAGACGAGGTGCTGCCTTCTGAACTTTCTGTAAGGGTTTCACTGTACATAAAGGGAGGCCCACAAAAAGAGCATTGCCGTAGTCAAGGTGGGAGATAACCATGGCCTGGACCAAGAGTTGGGTTCCGTACTGAGTCAGGTAAGGCCTGATTTTTTTTTTTTTTTTGAGTTCAGTCTTAGATTAGTTTAGTTAAAGGTGGCATTCCTTCACTCATGTGGATGGGTCAGAGACAAGCCAAGATCCATGCAGAGATTGGGGGTTCGTCTGGCAGGAACAAGGAGTATAGTTGGTTGTCGTCTGCATAGTGTTAATATGAAAAACCATGAGAGCAGATAATTGGACCAGGAGGTGGTGTATATTGCAAAGTGAAGGGTTCCCAGGGCCAATCCTTGGGGCATCCCTGTGGGGAGCAATGGGTTGCCATGACTCAAGGGGCGCCCAATGAGATAGAATTCAAACCAAGAAAGCTCTTTCCCCGAGATGCCCTTGTCAGGGAGTACAGAAGGCAAGATGCAGTGGTTCACCATATTAAAGGCTGCTGATAGGTCCAGCAAGATAACAACTGAGGACTGAGGTGCAGCTCTAGCTGCCCTTAGGGCTTATGTCACAGACAACAGAGCTGTTTCAGTGAAGTGAATGCTCTTAAAGCCCAACTGATTTGGATCAAGGAGGTCGCTCCGTGAGAGGAATTCTGAGACCCGATTGAAACTGCCCTTTTCGATACACTTAGATAAAAATGGAAGAAGTGAGACTGGTCAATAGTTCTCCTCTTGAGCAGAGTCAAGTGAAGGCTTTTTGAGCAGAGGAGTTACCCGAGCCTGTTTGAATCCGGTTGGAATTGTTCATAAAGCCATTTATCACAAGTGTGATTGCTGGCACAATGGTGGGACACATGGCTTGGAGAAGGTTTGTGGGAATGGGTTCCATTGCACATGTAGTAGGATGACTAGTGGTCAGAAGTTTTGACACATCATTCCCAGTGAGAGGGGTGAATTAGAGAAAAGATGCGTCCTTAACCTGGGGAGACTGGAGGCATGTAGTAGAATTACTACATGTTACAATTTTGGTAACATTGCACTCAGCTAGAGGGCTGAGTGAGGGAGGTGGTGAGTCTGAGTCAGGTAAGGCCTGATTTTTCTGATGCTGTGTAGTGCAAAGTGGCACAACTGTGAGACAGATGCAGCATGGTTAGAGAAGGAGCTGTCATCAAACATGATGATGCCCAGGTTTCTCACAACCTTGATTGGGGTAAGAGATGAAGAGTTGATTTTGAGAGTTCTGTCTTAGAGAGGTTTAGTTGAAGGTGGCATTCTTTCATCCATGTGGATATATGTGAGCAAGACAAGTAAGATCCATGCAGAGACCTTGGGGTCAGTTTGATTATCTTTTCCCAATTGCAGTAAAGATCTCCACAGCTTCAGTATCGTCTGTGCCATTTTGAAATTCATGAGAGGAGAATGAGCAAACACATTTCAAGTAGTATTTTGCATCATTGTACTGTGGGGTGGAAGAACAAAAAACTCTGGTGCCATCATGTGTCCTAGAGCCAAATGACAGCTGAAACACTGGTTAAAACAGCAGGAGACAAAAATGTTTGTCAAATCTGCGGATCTGTTACAGATGAGGATTAGTTCATGTACGTTTCACTCTATTTTTTTTACAAACGCAAGAATGTAGTGTGTAGAAAATATACCACATAATGAATCTCAATATTTATAGTTTTCCTGTGTTTGACTCTGTCTCCCCCCACTGGCGGCAGTAGAGAGATGGCTGTTTTTTCATGAATTCAAAATAGTCCTTCCTGTTGCACCTACTGAGTACTGGAGATATGGAGATATGGAGAAATGGGATTATATCATGTCCAGTTTGGTTTGACTTGGATGTGACATGTTCAGCTATGTAGAAAACACACCACTCTGGCATCAAGATTTGCACATATAAACTGTAACAAACAGTGTTTCCTAATCTTCTGGATAATTTTAAATTTAAAGTTTCACTGTAATTCAGTGTATGACTTTAACATTTTAACATTTCTGACAAAGTGTATCTGACTCCACATTTAATAAAAATTTTTTTACCATTGTTTCCCTACATTGTCCAGCTTAAGTGCACACTTTAGGCCTGCATTAAAATCAGTGAATCAATTTAGACATGTTTTAATTGAGTGCAGTACAAAAATAGTGCTGTTTTTCTGAAAATATTTTGTATAACAACAGGTAATATTTTCTATAATATCCATCAAGAGGATGCCAGTGTGGATCCGGTACAGCGTGTCCTCGTAGGAAACAACATGACTAACACATTTTAAGGTAAATTTACAATTATTTTCTTTTGTTAAACCTTCATTTATGTTTGACTCCCATTTTGTCACTTACTCTGGGTCTGTTTATGATACGGTTTCTTTTCATTTTAAATCCATTTCCCTTATTTCTGTTGGATAATCAGCTGTAAACACTGCCCTGTGAGTCCTCCTCAAATAGTTTATGGGTTCCCTATGCGATGTTTAAAGTTCTCGCGTGTTTGCACCAGCTAGAACTAAACTTCACACGTTTTTAATCAACATCATGATCTGTGTAAAAGTTAAAACTAAAATGTAATTTTGGTTATTTATCTCCTTCTACTGAAGATGGGTTTCTATGCAACAAGAAATTGGCTTGAGCAGTAGGTGCTCATTAGATTAGCTCTTAACATGCTTTTTTAAAAAGTGAGTCATGCCTTTATATTTCAATGTGTAAAGATTATATATCTAAATATGTATATTGTGTATCCCTGTGGTTTTTTATCATGAGTGGAACGTGAGAATGGAGAGTGGGAGAGATAAAGGATGGATTGAGAGAGCAGACTGAGGATGAGACCCCACCGCTAAAACACAATAAGCAAAGCTGAGAGGAATGTCATGCCTTAATGAGATTTCACAGCAGAAAACTCTCTTCCTCATAAGATGACTGGATTTGAAGCCCATGTGTGTGAAATTGTCTTTTAAAAGAGGCACAACTGTAGTAGCAAACTTTCTCTGTTAACTGATCCACCAACAGAGAGCATTATTCATGCCACCCCGTGTAAAAATAAGCTATGAGTAATATTAAGCTTTAATTTGCCTGATATTTTTTTAAATGAAAATTATGGGATATGACAAAGAAAAAGAAAAATGAGTTATTGGGATTGCACGGTTAAAATACAGCAAACAAAACTTTACAAATATCCATGATTTATTACCTCCGTTTGTGTGAGCAGAAACTGATCAGGTAATGTGACATGAGTAACATTTTCTGTATAAACATCTTTAATATGATAAAAATGCAATAGTAGCATATGTAGTGCATATTAACACAGCAGACTGACACTTCACAAGTAGTGT